TTTCTTTCTTTCTTTCTTTCTTTCTTTCTTTCTTTCTTTCTTTCTTTCTTTCTTTCTTTCTTTCTTTCTTTTTTTTTGCAAAACCTGGGATTGAACTCAGGCTCTTGCGCTTGCCAGGGAAGCACTTATTCTACTAAACCATCTCCCCGGCCCCTTCTCTTGTTGTTTCTATGCTCTATATAGTGAAGATGAATCCTGCTGATTTGAGAAGCCAGAGTATTAAATATAATTAAGATATAAGTGCATTTTTTGGTTTCCTTTAGCATAAGGAAACAGGTTGGTGGTGGTGAACTATTTACCTGGCTTTATATAACCATAGCTGGTTATACCCATAACTTTGCAAATCTCAGACGTATGAGATCTGGGGACTTCCTCATCCATGGAGCCTCCGTAGCCAAATCTCCCCACTTGAAAGCCCAGCCAGACGCTGAGTGATAGGGAAACCCGGGGCCCCAAATGGTATTGAGCCCATGTCTAGATCACCCAAACCTCAGGGTAAACCTCAGGATGTCCCTGTGACCACACTGGTGCATGATGTCAACCAGCACCCCCCATATCCTTCTCCCACTTTGTTGAACCGAGATGGTATGTTAGGCAGCATTTGGCTGTGTGAAGGGAGGGGCTGTCTCTTTGCTATGGGAAAACTAATAAGCTTATGAAATGTATAAATTATGTTTTCAAATACAATAATATTGAAATTTTGTCCAAAAAGTGAAACATTTAAAAATCAATGAGAATTTGTTGATAACATACTAAAGTATTTTTTCTTGTTGTTGTTGTTTATTTGTTTGGTTTTTTGTAGTAATGGGAATCAAACATGGGACCTTGTGCTTGCCAGGAAGGCACTTAAGTCACTGAGCTATATCCCTGGCCCCATACTAAGTTTTTAAGTCTCACCAGCGATTTCCTTTCCCATAAACTCAAATCTATTTTTTTTTAATGTATTTGATACAAGGTCTCACTATGCAGCTCCTACTCATAGTGATCCTCCTGTTTGCAGCCTTCCCAGTGCTGGAATTACAGGCATGTGCCTCCACAACTGGTCTCAGTAGCTGGCTCAGCAAGCCTGGTGGCAGGGCCGTGCGGCATGAGGTGCAGGGGGTCAAACCTCAGTTCCTGCACTTGCCTAAGCAGGGGCTTAGTCCGCTGGGGTACCCTGCCAACCCTCAAACTCATCTTTTTTGGCTAAAAATGATCACAAAATATCAAATATAAATACTTAAAGTATATTTTATGAAATAGATTGGATTTTAAATAGAGCTATTAGGAATTATTATTTGATCTGATTAAAGGAAGATGTTTAAAAATAATTATGTTACAAGGTAGGACAGACTCATGTGCCTGAAAATACACACGGGAGAACTTCTGCCAGCTCCCATGACGGCATCCTGTGGCTGTGTGGTGCACACCTCCCATCTGCGCATCTCCACACCTCTCGCCAGGATGGGCACTTCCACTTCATCACATCCGTCGCTTCCCTCTGTGAGAGTACACCTCTGCCTCCACTGCTGCACTTGCATCTGTCCTTACTGTATCATTGCCATCTGAACCCAAGCACATGGTCATAGCCCATTGGGCCATTCTCTCAGTCTCTTATTTCTCAGCTCATCTTTGCAGCTTTGTTGTGCTGGCTCTTTCTTCAAATCTCTTCTTCCTTTGTTTTTGCAACCAACTCTGTTCAGGCTTCTGAGCTCAACAACCTGGTCACGGGCAGCCTGTGCCTTGTGAGATCTAAGAGCTGGTGCTCTATTCAGTGTCTTCACTCCTTCTCAGGACTCCTGAACTTCTTGGCTTTCCAGGGAGCACATGGGCTGCTCCTGCCTTACCTTGTTTTAGGATTCTTTAGCTGATTCTTTCCATGCCTCTGATGTTTTTTAGAGTTGGAATGCTTAAGGGCTCACCTTGAAGAAATTCTGTCCTCAAACTCCAGCCTTAGTAGCTCTCAAATCCTGTAACCCTAAGTGTCACTGTTCCATTTCTTTAGCTTAAGTGAAGTAGTCAGTCACCAACTGAAATCTCCACTATCATCAGTCCCTCTAGACTCCTGACCTCTGTCCTCACGCTTGCCTACCACAGCTGTCCCGTGTCCCTGAATGGTAGTCCTGCCATATTCACAGCTGGACATCTTGCAGCATGCTTCATGCCTCTCTCTTTATTTCTCTTCAGAGCCAGAAAGTCAGAAAATTTGTTGGCTCTGCCTGAAAAGAAACATTTTAGGATATCCATTGTATTTTTGCCTCAATTACTACAAAGCCCTTCTCACCAGTCTCTCTTATGGTCCTAGAATCTGTTCTTAATGGAGATGGCAGAGTGGCCTTTGAAAAATATGGGTTAGGGGACTGGGGAGATGGCTCAGTGGAATAAGCACTTCCCTGGCAAGTGCAAGGGCCTGAGTTCAATCCCTGGTTCCAAAAAAAAAAGTGTCTAAAAAAAAAAAAAAGAAAAAGAAAAATATGGGTTAGATGCTGACACCTCTGATGAAGGTGCTGTGACTATGTCCTGGTCGCTCAGACTCCTGAGACCTTTGTCACTTCAGCCTTCCCTGGGCACAGCTGTCACCTTCTTGCCTTCTCTCAGCCTGCTGTCCTGTACCCTGTCACTGTGTTCCTCCCTGACACCTTCTAGCTTCCCTCTCATACTATAGCTCACAGCTGACCTTCCTGAGGCTTCTGTCCTGACCACATTATTTAATTCTCACCCTATCTCCTCACTCCCCTTTAACACTCTTATTTTCTATGCCATTTTTACATACTATGTGATTATTCTTACAGTCTTTGTTTATAATGGCAACAGCATCAACTGACTTTAACCTCACCTAGATTTTTTTAAAATTTTCTTTTATTTTGAAAAGTAAAAGCAAGGTTTTTAAATTTATTTATTTTTATTTGCAGTACCAGGGATCAAACTCGGGACCTTGTGCTTGCCAGGCAGGTGCTTAATGCCACTGAGCTATAGCCCTGGCCCTGAAAAGTAAAAGCAAAGCAAGAGCAAAAAATGAGAAACAAAGAAAGAAACAGGGCAATATACAACAGTACATATGTTACAGATTTTCAAACCAAGAATAGCTGATTAACAATGATTGATATATTATCTATTTTATCATCAAATCTGTTGCTCAGATTAGTAGATATAGTTATGTAAGATTGGACATATGGTTGGATATTACCACTTGCTTTCAAGAAAACTTAAATTTATGTTGTTTTTTTAAAATTTTTCTAAAGTTGGTTTTAACAAGAGTATTGTAATAATTGATATGATGTTAGAAATGGATCATATTTAGAAGACCAAGATGTCAGGTAATTGGGCCAGCCAAATAGCTCAGCAGATTAAAATGCCTGCTTAAGCAGATGCAGGGACTAGGAGTTCAATCCCTGGGCTTGCTGTGCTGGCCCCAGCCTCAGGGTGCACTGAGATGGTGATTGAGACTGGGCATGGTGGTGCATGCCAGTAATCCCAGCACTTGGGAGGCTGTACAGGAGAATCACTACAAGTCTGATCTACACAGTGAGACCCTGTAGACCCTGTCTTAAAAAAAAAATGTCAGGTACTCAAGCATGGGTTTTTTAAATTACACATTGCTGTCCTCAATGTGGTTGCTTAGATCGCAGCTATTAGCAAGCAGGGTTAGTCAAGGTGAAAATTCTACACATTAACTGCTGCATGGCTCCTTCCCATTAGGCCCACCAAAGTGGAATGAGTTGGCTCTCACCTAGATTTTTGAATGAAGCACTGAACCTGACTTGCCTCTCTGTGCAAACTTGCTTTATTTATAATTACTTGGAGCATTTAATACCTGCTGCATCTTCTGTTCCTAGAGTTGAGCAGGAAAATTCAAGAATGATTTGATAATAAAAGTTTACATACTGAGAAATCTGAAATTCCAAAGATTCTGAAGGATGTTGGATACAGCAGTAGTAGAAATTACTGTGATTGGAATGTAAGCTGCAACTTTCCTCATATTTCCTTTGTTTTAAATTTATCTGTGTTTCTCTTCAAGCGCAAAGGGCTCCTAATTGCCTGCCTGTGTCATGACCTGGACCACAGGGGCTTTAGTAACTCCTATCTACAGAAATTTGACCACCCGCTGGCAGCACTCTACTCCACTTCCACCATGGAGCAGCATCACTTCTCTCAGACCGTATCCATCCTGCAGGTGAGCCATTTGGCCCTGGGTAAGCCATAGACTTTTGGATGGAGGGCTCGTGGGCAGTAGCTACCCTTTGTGAGAAAAGGAGATCTTTACAGCTTGCTTTGAAAGCAGTAGCTGGTTATATTGGTAGTCATAATTTAGTAGTTAGGGAGTTTAGGATAAAGAATCTTTACAAAATGTTGAATATATACATTTTTTGCAATCACATTTGTTTTTTATATCAATGTTATATGACACTCTAAGGCAAAGTTTATTTCTCATACTTTAATTATATCATTGTCATATTCTTGAACCAAAACATGATAAATTGTAATTTTAAAAGCTTAAAGCTTTCAAGTGCATCGAAGTCCTCTTATCTTATTTTTTAAAATATTTTGTTGCTTTTAAGATTTTGGTGGTGATTGTTCTAGCTAATGGCAGTTCTCAGTGCAATACAAAGATGTAAGTGCTCCTTCTTCTTTAAAACTTTTTTCTCAAACTCACCAAACAAGGTGGCTATTAATGCTTAAATTCCATCACTGAGAATTTTTAAATTGTTTCTTGCCTCAAAGTGGAGAAAGAAAGTTTTGTAGTTCTTTTGATGATGTGCCTGAGGGCTCAGTGATACTGGTAGAAAGCCCTTAAGCTGTCAGTGTTGTGCAGGGACATTCTGGCAGTGACTGGCTGTGGGCAGGCTGGAGAGTAGAAAGCCTTTCATCACATGGCACAGTTGTTTGGTGCTGTGCTGTGCAGTCCTCCCTGTCAACACCAAGTACCATGGGTATGTTTTCCTCCCCTCCACTTTCCCAAAGCTTCTGCAGTACCTTCTTATTTGAGCTGACTATGCAAGCAGTTGGTAGTACTGCCTGCTCAGACCTTCTTAAAACCCAACAAAACTTCCTTATTTAGGTTTCAAGAAGGCAAATGACCAAATTACTGATGTGCAGGTGCTATTCTGATTGTCTGGTGGATAGCAGTTAAAGATATTTTAGATATGGAATTATTTTAGTCATTTTCAAACCACAAGCCCTTGGTAGCTTGAAGAATGCACTGGCTCATGGAATTGCTTTAATTCTTCTCCTTAAAGCAATAATTTTTTAAAAATTAAAATTTTCTTTTATTTTGAAGAGTAAAAACAAAAATAAGAAAGACAAAAAGACAGAAAAGGATAACATACAACAGTGCAGATGTTACAGATTTTCGAAACAAGAATAACTGATTGATGCAATATACATTTACAATCACATTTATAGTCATTTCTTTTCTAAGAGATGTATGTTTGGATGTGTTTGTACACACATGCATAGATACAAGAATGCATTGGAAATACAGCAGATGCTTGTGTGTACATATATCTAAAGTGCTTTGTGAAATAGATGAACATTATAGAACTTCAGGAAAGTTTACATCTATTTTGATCTCATTTGAAGATAGTTTTTTGTATAACTAGAAATATACACTTTAGACATTGAGATATAAAATTAGAACTCAACTTAGTTACTGTCCGTATTTTAAATGAATTCATTTATTTGACTATGAAAAAATTTCTAGCAATGTAATCTGTAAATGAGTTTTAAAAAGTTAAAATTAGTAATAATAACATTAATAATGAAAATGAAGACAGAAATCTAGAGACAGAGGAAAGGAAATGGGAGAGGAGAGAAAGGCAAATACCAAAGATGTGAGCTGTGTTACATACATGAATGTAACATGAAGATGGATATAAACTTCATGCATTGCAAACATGACTAACAAAATAATTTTTTAAAAAGCAAAAATACCTACCTGCCATACTGCCCTGCCCCCCCCGGGTGTGCTGAGCTGGCAAATGAGCTGGGTTGTGTGGGCGCATGCCTGTAATCCCAGCACTGGGGAGGCTGAAAACAGGAGGATCACTATGAGTCCATGCTGCAAAGTGAGACCCTGTGCCGAATACATAAATGGGGAAAAAAAAGAAAGAATGAAAAACTATTTTAAATATAATAGAATTAATTTTAAAATAGGCCAGAATTGCAATATATATTGTCTCCAGGTTGGATGAAAAGTAACTAAATGAAAATATAACTGCTACAACAGATGCTTTTACAGGTGGGCATGGAGAGGGTCCGTGGAAGACCTGTGCCAGTTGCCATCAAACATAAGGAAGGTTCAGGATGGTTTGCTGCAGTTTTGTAAGTTCACTGCAAAAGTTTGAGGATTATAGATCACTTCTGAGACATTCCTCATAGGGGACAGAATGATTGTCCCAAAATGATTGGGACAGAATAATAGGATCTTTTGGCAGTAAATCCAATTCAGACAGGTAAGCCATTGGCTTCCCGAGATACTACAGAGTGAGTTATGGTCACTGGTGAGAAGACAATAAGGACACATCTGCCCTGTGTAGAGAAAGGTGAAGTACCAAAACCAGGACAAGGTAGGCAGCTGGGAAGAAGCTCTGGGCTTTGCTGCACCAGAAGTTTAAAGGTGATTTGTAAATAGAATTGATTCTAAGCCTTTCAGGGGAGCTACAGCAGAGAAAAGTGTGCCAAGGTATCAATAACCTAAGTCACATGGGCATTTAGGAAACAGCTCCTTCATTTTTCAAAAGGAAGTTCCCTGAGCCCTTTTGCATCTATGCTGATCATACTTCATAGAGTGCTTGTTCACAGATTCCTCTGAAGTTCTATTCCAGAACAAACCTGTTTCTTAAGCACTTCTGCTTACCCATACCTGTTCACACTCTAGTAGGAAGAGAGGGATGAGCAAAGCAAACGCAAATCCCTACTTTCTTGCAGCACACAGTCTGAAGTAACCAGTGCCAGGCAGCTTCACCTTTCTGTGGACCTGGCTGTCCTCTGGGGTTCATACTCACACCTAAAGGACTCCCAGACTCTGTTGCATGAGCCTCATGTTCAGCAAGACTTCTGGGTCCAGCCATCTGAACTCTGCATCCACTATGGCCAATGCTGTACTCATTATTTTTCCCTGGATACTTATCTCATTTCTATCTCCTAGGGTGGCAACTTGTCACCCAAACTTCAAGGTTGGTGACCTTAAACTCACTGTTTTTCCTCCATTAGCTCCCTTCCCTCCAAAAAAATACCAAGTCCTGCCAATTTTATGTCTTATTAGAAGACACCTCCTGACTTGACCAGTTAATGAGATATTCCTGGGTAAGAGTAAAGCGTATAACTATTATTCATTAAAACGAGACAGAGCAATATATTGTTAAATAACGTCAGTGACTCTTATAACCTTTCTTTAGCTACGGAAGACTTTTTCTATTGCTGTCTTGATCTCTGCATATATTTTGTATCTTTGATGTCTCTGAGTGGCTGTGGATCTGAAAGTAGCCATCTTCACAGCCAGATAAAAGACATGCAGTTGTCTAGGCATGATGGTGCAAATTTTCAATGACAGTTCATTTGGGAGACTGAGGCAGAATGACTGCAAGTTTGAGGCTACCCTTGCCAGTTTAGAGAAGGTTTATCTCAAAATAAAATAAAACTAGGCTGCAGATGTAGCTCAGTGGTAGAGCACTTTGCTTGCCATATGCAAGGCCCTGTTTCCAGTATTGCCAGAAAAAGCTATAAAAAATATGTAATTCAGTACCCTATGTATCTGGGTGTGGTGGCACATGTCTCTAATCCCAGCACACGGGAGACTGAGGAAAGAGCATTGCCACGAGTTCAAGGCCAGCTTGTCCTAAATAATGAGTTGAAGGCCAGCTTGGACTACAGAGTGAGACCCTGTCTCAACAACAATAAAATACACTGTGTAATAGTGAGAAGTATTTCCTAACCAGGCATTAGCACACCTATTTGTAACTTGGTTGCTTTGAATCACAGCTTTGCTAGTTCAAGTGCCAACTTCTGTTATGACTGCCACTGTCACCTGCTGGATAGTTTGCACAGTCAATAAAATGCCACTGACAGAATCAGTATTACAGAATGGCAGTGTGTGAACAAATACATATTCAGTGCTCCCCTAACGTACCTGCTTAGTTCATGCAATAGAGGAGAGGGAGCACAGATAGCTCTCGCCTTTTCTTGGTCACAGTGAGGAGGATGCAGTGGACAGTTTTTTGTTAAGAAAGTATGGAAGGTTGAGTCCTGACTAAATTATGGGAAAGTGTAAAAGAAGCTATAAAAAGATAAACCTGCTTTCTTGTCTTTTGCTGAACTTCTTGCTAACTCTTTGAGTTGGATGTTGGGAATATTATCCTGGAGATTGAGGCCAGTCAGGGTGGACATTCAGAAGAAAGCATCTCCCACTGGGCACCAGTAGTGAATTTTCAACTGGCCTTGCCTTCTGCTGCAGCCTTCTGAGTGTTGCCATCTATTTGTCCTACCCCACACCCCATCCTGGCCATCACTGTGTGCCTGTTTCTCCTGCCTTTTCCCCTCATGTGCCAACAATTCTCCACCTTTGATGTCTCAAATTCATCCAAATCTATGCCTGAGAGAGTGACTCCCTTGTTTAAAGGTCCTTAGTGGTTCTCTATGGCCTTGTGAATAGATTCCTACTTGCATAATTAGTATCCAAAATACTAATAGAGTCTCTGCCTGCTAGAGGGCCAGAGCTCTTTCTATACTTCTGGAAATCTGAACCATTCTACACCTCCCTCCTGCAGCCAACTTTTATCTTTTAGGATTAGCCTGAGCATTACTTCCTCTGATAAAATCACTTTGTGGTGATTCCACATAGCTGGGAAGCAGCCTTGTACCCTTTCTCCATGGCTTCTGAGTACCTCAAGCCTAAGTACATCTTCTTGTTTTCTTTTTAACTTTGAAATTTTCTGCTTATGTTCTTGGCTTTATGCCTCCTCAGCAGTGGACGTTGGTGAAGACAGTGAAAAGACTCGAAAGAACAAATCATGTTTAGAAGCAAGTGAGTAGCTCGGTTTCCTTGGGACAGCTGAATATGTGGGTGGCTCAAGTGGTGGAAGGCATGTGTGAAACCTCTAACTAAGGAGATCTTTTTGTGTGGGCAGTGACATAACAGGAAAGTAGAGAACTTTCTTACTTAAAATGTCTGTATTT